GTTCGTTTTTTAGCAAGAACTTATTTGTTAGGATGAAACAAACAATAATAAAGTTCTTTTATAATGACAGTACATTGAAGATTTGAAAATAACTATAAATAAACTATATATAAATCATTGCATTTTTTTTCCCAGAAAGATACATTGGCAACCTTAACATTTTATTTTATGATTTAATATTTGTAAATTGTCTAAAGCAAAAGAGTTGCAAAAATTCTAAAAATTTTTAGAGCTCATAATTTGCTTTAATTTTATTAGAAGTAGGCCAACAACGCCCCCTACGGAATTAAAACTCCTTACTGAGCAGGCTTTAGGACCCGGAGCCGCTGCACGTGCTATTACTGTTTACTCTATCATACACCGAAAGCGTCATTCTGTACGTGCATTCTCAGTTTAAAGGGGTCATATGATGCTGCTAAAAAGAACATTATTTTGTGTATTTGGTGTAATGAAATGTGTTGATGTGTTTAGGTTTAAAGTAAAAAAACCATTATTTTCCACATACTGTACATTATTGTTTCTCCTCTATGCCCCGCCTTTCTGAAACGCGTCGATTTTTACAAACCTCATTGGTCTGAAAAGCGAGGTATGCTCTGATTGGCCAGCTATCCAGAGCGTTGTGATTGACCGAATACCTCAAAGTTAGTGGCAAATTCTTTAAATATAAAAATCTTACTTACAGGCTGTGAGTCAGAACAGCCGGCATTGTAGTCTACTCTCCCAGGATCAGGAAACAGTCCTCCATAAAATGCGCTGCACACATCTGAATATTTGGGTTGAACTGTTCTGGAACAGTGTTGTAAATACAACTTAACCACTGATTTGTAGTCGTGTCCTCTTTTGGAAGACCAAACAAAGTAGTTTAGCTTTCACAACGAAACACACAGCGTCTCCACAACATGGCGGCGACGGCAACAGCAAGAATAAAAGTTACGCCTTCTTTCTTTGCGTGAACATTTGGGCATCGTGACGTAGACATGTGGGGGCGTGTTAGAACGAGCCGTTTTAGGTAGGCGTGGCTGACTCTTAACTTTTATAAAGAATATCTCTTTGGATTTGAGACTGTAGTCTTTGCAACTTTACAGATCTTCTTTATGCACCAAGAGCTTGTAACACTTCAAAGAGAAAGGAAAACTTGAAATCGCATCATATGACCCCTTTAAATGCAGCAAGCCGAAACAGTGAATCCAATCACCATTCAGGCAAAACTTTGCTTCAAGAATGAGCCACAATGCTGACATGATGTAATCGCACTGTTGACATGATCTAATCACTAGCACACCCTGAGCACATGTGAGTTAATGTATTCCTCTTATTGGCAAGACATATCGGCATAATTTTTCATATCGGGCCGATGCCGATATTTACATTTAAAGCCATTATCGGACGATTCCGATATTGGTCCGATAAAATCGTGCATCCCTAGTAAACATGTTTGCATGTGGTTTTAGTACTTTGTTCTGAGGAGCTTCCCGTGTGTTGCTGGTATCCTGCAGGATTTTACTGGAGCTGCTCTGCAGTTTGTGCTTCTTTCCTCGGAAACGATTGACAAAGGAGAGCTTTGAGGATGACTTGGCCAGTGAGGATTTGGACTGCTTGAAGAGGATGTCACTGGTCCACTTCTGACCCTGCAGGACAGACATTAAATTGCTCTATGAATCCCTGATGCTGAGATTTAAAAACATAAATTTATGCTTCATTGTCTTATGAACTGATGACTATAAATAGAGTTATGAATCAGATAAATACATTTGCGTTGATCTTGTCAGGTGTGAGTTTCATCAGCTCTAGGTTCTCCATACTGTGCCGTCGGCTCATCCTAGGTCTGGCTCCTGGAAAAACAACAAACCAAGTCAATCAATTTAAAACCTTAAATGCAATGGTCCCTTACTTTATTCCAGTGATAAATCATACAGAGGAACTTGGGATACTATGGCTGAAGGAAGACCTAGTGCTGTATTTGTGTACCATGCAGGTTGTAGTCAATCTCTTTGTTCTCAGAAAGTACTGAATTGTTTGTGCTGTAACTGAGGCCGAGGACCATCTGGAGATCTGAGATGTTCATGCGAGCAGTGAGTTCCCCGCTACGATCACCAGTCTGTAAACAAGACAATTCGGGCATTTAATTCAAGCAATAATTATTTATTTATTTATTCAAAATGCATATAACTCTGCTGCAGTTTAGAGCAAAACTGGTTTTATAACAGATTTCCTTTAAAACAAACATCAAAGGTACTTCTAGATATGCACCTACTGATGGGTCTAGAACTACGCGCACCTCTTTTGAGATTTCTAAGTGCTTTTCTGCAAAGTCCATGGCCTGGTCATGATTCCCTAGTGCTGTATGTGCGTTTCCCAAACTCCAGCAGGCCCTGCCCATATATGAGTATAATAATATATAACGATTTTATGCATAATGTGGGACTTTTAATTATAAATAAGACCAAAATGCAAAGGGAATCTTATTTTGAAATCTGTGTGCTTTACTACTTCCAGCTGCTCATTCAAAAAGATGGGGGGGATAAAAATATGCACTTTTACAACAATCTACAATATATTACAAAAAAAAAAAAACATAAAGTAGTAATTCATCAACAGTAGATCATAAGCAATTACCTGTCATAAAAGTGTAGTATACACCCATTGCGTGAGACTGTGGAACGTGTAACATAATTTTTGACTTTGAACTTGGCAGCATGCACTAATTTACTAATTATAATAATTATATGATTGCCTTTTTAAGTTTAATTATCACATTAGAATGTACCACAATTCTGTTTTTCCATCCTCAAAAAAACAACAACAAAAAACGTTTTTCCATCCTCAAAGACCTTATAAAATGATAATTATGACTAAGACTTTAAATGACCTTTAATTTAATCAACTGAAAAGAAGACTTATTACACTGCTCTGTGGAATACTTGATTCTGATTGGTCAGTCGCGACATTCCGAGGTATGTTATCCCTCAATAACAACCGGTAAAAACTAATAACACAGGCTCATCCGGGTAACTGAAGTCGGCGCTGTACTCTTGCTAGGAACAGTTTTTTCTTGGTGGAAGCTTTGCGTTTGTTTAGCTAATAAAATATTAAAACTCGATTCAAAATAGTGTACAACTTTTTCATTATGTCATCCTGGTATCGCGGACTCGCTCTCTCATTTCATACAAACGCAGCTGCTGCCATTTTGCTTCGATTGTTTTGTATGCTGTAATGGATTATAAGATAACTAAAAAACATTTTCGTCTTAAATCTTTTATCGCCATAATTATTTATGTGGTGAAATGTTGTGTAATAAGTGATGAGTCTGCTTCGCGTCGGGGTCCTGATCACCCTGTCGGGGGTTATTCTGCGATAACAACCGACTGGATGTACATTATTCTTTACTTAAAGACCCACAGAAACCCTGGAACAATATTTATATCAAACCCCACCTTAACAGGGCTGTAATGTGTAATGCTCGCTCTCTCGCCCAGAAAAAAAATTTAATAAATCAATAATTAAAAAAAAAAGATATTAATATTACACTCACCTGTAATGTTCTGCAGCCCTCTCAAACTCCCCAAGGAATATACAAGCATTTCCCAGGTTGCAGTAGGCTCTCCTTTCTGCAGAGCGGTCACCAAACTCTTTAGCTATAAGCAAACGCTGGAAGACAAACGGTTCACGCACATGCAGTGAGTGCTTTTGCACAGCCTTACAGTTATTAGAATTTCCATAATCAAATGATGACACCGAACACTCACCTGTTCATGAGAGGCCACTGCATCCCTGAAGTTTCCTAGAAGGTAGTATGTGTTGCCCAGGTTTCCATAAGTTCTGCCCTGTGCTGCTCTGTCTCCGAGCTCCTTCACGATACACAAGTTCGCCCTGAGCAATTGGAGAAAAGGAGGAGGATGTAAAAACTCTGTACCATACACACAAAAAAATTTCATTCACATGAGTGTTGGTAGTACTCACTCGTAGTACTCCGCGGCTTTTCTAAGTGCTGTCATGACCTCCTCAGGAAAGTCTCCAGGTTCTGCTCCGCTCCAGCAAATGCTCTTCCCTTTTGCATGGTACACATTTCCAAAATTATAAAGTGCTCTGGCCTGCCCCACCTTTAGGAAAAAAGCAAATTAAATAAATTGAAAGAAAAAAAAGTACTACTAAGCATGTGAATCTTAGATGTTAATTATATACCCAGGTGCATCTTATGGAAGCTTCCAGCACAAAATAAAAGGAAGAAGGTAAAATAAAGAAGGTAATTGCATTTTTTTTTTTTATCGGAGTTGTGCTGATTTTTTATTATTAAATTTTTTTTTTAAATCAAGCCCCCAAAAATCTATTTCTCTTCGACAATTCACAATTTTGAATGTAGGGTAAAAAAGACCTGTTGATTTATTCATCGGATTCACACAAATGTATGATTACAATATTCAGCAATGATTAATTCACATTTACAAAAAGTTTTATATAATTACAGCATTCATCAGACCCTGTCTACATCTATTAATTTACAGACTGTTAACTGTTTGATTTGTTTGTCAGTTTGCAAGCTCATTTTTTCAGTCAATGCCAGAGCTTTCTAATGCAGCACTAATATGATTGCCTCATCAGAATGAATCACTAATGTTGTAGAATTTTTCATTTGCGAGTGCCTCTGTGTAAAAGCGTCAATGAATAATGTTAAATGAATATATTTAAACGTAATAGGTTCCATTATGGTAATGTGTCTATTGTGTACATTAAATGAATCACTCACCTTGTCGCCCAGTTCCCTGGCAATATCTAAATGTCTCTGGCAGCAGACCACTGCTTCATCAAAGCGTCCCAAAACCTTTAATGTGTTCCCAAGGTTACCGCTGGCTTTGGCTTCACCGAGCCGATCCCCGGTGGTCCTGAGAGAACAAATCAGTGCTATCATTAACATTCAATACAAATATTATACAATCCTAAAGAACATTCATTTTTGGTAATACAACCGAAACACCTCAAATTTACACTACCATTCAAATTTGTGGTCGGTAGGATTGTTTTATAGAGATGCAACGATTGCAATTTTCTTGGCCGATTCCGATTTTTTTGTCAGTGTGACCTGACGATTCCGATTTTCCTTCTAAGAACTATAATTGACAGCATATACAAACAAAAATCTATCCTTTATCAACGCAAAACAATTATTTACATAAAATAAATTAGTTAACATTACATAGTACTGATTTGGTACTCAAGAAACATTTCGTATTATCAATATAGAAAACAGTTGTAATGCTTAATATTTTGTGGAAACCATGATAGTTTTTTTTAAAACCCACGATTCCTTGATAAATAAAACCTTTACTGACCCTAAATTGTTGAACAGTTGGGGAAGCTACATTTGCTGTAAAGTTGTGTAAGCATACCTAGTTAGCGTAAGATCATGGTGGTGGAAATCCAGAGCTTTGCTGTAGTCATGCAAGTGAAAGTATGCATTGCCCAGTTGACTGTAGATGGCACTCAGAACCTGCAGGTCTTCTGTGCCAACCTGCATGGCGGCCTCGAAGAAAGAAACGCCGGCGCTGTAATCCCCCACCTTACAGAGACGCTCCCCCTCCAGAGCCAGGTCCAAACAGGATGCCTCCATCCTGCAGGGGGCAGCAAAAACAAGATGTAGTTGTACTGACTCTCTTAGTAGAAATAAATCGAGAAGGCAGGATGTCCTCATTACAAAAACCAACAAAATCTTATCTTTTATGAATCAAATTTTGTGTATCTAACTCATTGTCAAACACTGGGAAAATTCAATGACAGTAAGGTGCTGTCATAACAGACCACTGATTTGTTTGTGCTGGGAAAGTTAAAAAAAAAAAGTGTCAGTTTGACATTTGAAACTTTGAATAAAAAAAAAAAAAACTGCATGTAAACCACACAAAAAATTTGTTAAAAAGTCTTCATTTTGGGGGGCTTATAGGATATCATTTCTATCCCAGGAATAAAGTTTTTGGCACACAATTTCAGTGAAATAATTAAATTTTTTTAGGGATGCACCGAAATGAAAATTCTTGGCCGAAGCCGAAACCGAACAAAATGAAACACTGGGCCGAAGCCGAAATACCGAACACGGTTTTACAAGTTTTTTTTTAAGAGTTTTTTTCCCCCATGTATTTTGCCAATTTTTTTCACCATTGCATAAATTAAATAGCCAAAATGTGCTTTTTACTATTTTGTCTTGCTTTTCAAAGAAAAAAATC